ACACAGTATCAGCAACAATGGACTCAAATATAAAAACTATTGTTAATTATGGGACAGAACTAGGCAGTGTTTCATTCACTATGAGTCGGAACCCACTCAAGAGCATCTAACAACAAGTACTATTTCGCTGTATGGAGGTACCATACCGCTGGACCTCACAACTGGACTAGTAAATAACATCATGATAAACGGAGAAAATACTGAAGGTGTCAAAGACTTCATTTTGCTTGGATTCACAATCAACACTCATGGAAGCAGCAGTCAAGAAATTAAACAATGTATTGCATTAGGTAAATCTGCTGCACAAGACCTTTTTAAAGTGTTGAAGAACAGAGATGTCAGTTTGCGAACTAAGGTGTGCCTGACTCAAGGCATGGTATTTTCAGTAGCCTCATCTGCATGTGAAAGTTGGACAGTAAATAAGGAAAATTGTAGAAAGAATTGATGCATTTACGTTGTGGTATTAGAGAAGAATATTAAAAGTACCATGGACTGCCAGAGAAACAAACAAATCTATGTTGGGAGCAGTACACTCAGAATGCTCCTTAGAAGCCAGGTTGGCCAGACTTAGTTTCTTATACTTCAGATGTTATCAGAAAGAACTAGGCTCTGGAGAAGGACATCTTGCTTGGCAAAGTGGATGGTCAGCAAAATAGAGGAAGAAAGACCTCTAGTGAGTTGAATTGGCACAGTGGCAGCAACAGTGGGCTCAAGCAGAACAACAGGTGTGAGAGTGGCACAGGACTGATTAGTGTTTCGTTCTATTGTACATAAGGTCGCTGTGAGTTGGTATCAACTCGATGGTACCTAACAACACCACCACCCACTGAAAGATAATTGCGTTGTTTCCACTTTGGGGTAACTGAATTGTTGATGTTAAGTGTTGTCTTTAAGTGTTGTCAAGTCAGTCCCACCCCTTAACGACCCTGTATAGGGTTTCCAAGGAGCAGCTGATGAGCTTGGACTCCTGACCTTGCTAGTGAAATGGACAGCAGTCCAGCTCATTAACTCATAGCACCCCACCAGGACTCTAACTGTCAATAAAGCTGATATAAACATTCATGCCTAGGTTTCTGTGTGAATGTAAGTTTGCATTTCTCTAGAGTAAAATGCTTAAGAATATAATCGCTTGGTCATGTGATAAGTATCTACTTACCTTTATGTGAAACTTCCAAACTGTTTTCCTAAGTGAATGTTACCATTTTACATTCACACCAGCAATGCATGGGGTTCCCTCACATCCTAGCCAGCACTGGATAGTGTCAATATTTTTTAGCTTTACCATTCTAATAGTTGTGTAAGGAACTCTGATGGCGCAAACAGTTAAGCCCTCAGCTGTTAACCAAAAGGTTGGTGATTTTGAACTCGCCCAGCAACTCCACAGGAGAAAGAGGGGATGATTTGCTCCCATAAAGATGTTCTGTCACATAGGGTCACTGTGAGTCAGAATCAAGAAAATGACACTCAACAACGACAATACATGCATAGTGGTATCTCATCGTGGTTTGAATGTACATCTCCTAGGCTCTGGACTGTTAACCACAAGGTTGGGCAGTTCAAAGCCACCAGCTGCTCTGTGAAACAAGATGAGGCTGTCTGCTCCCGTAAAGATTTAGAAACACCCTCCAGGTTGCTGTGAATGGGATTTTGAATAGCTATTGATTTTGAACATCTGTCTTTTCTTGAGCTTATTTGTCATTCATATATCTCCTTTGGTGAACTATCTGTTCAAATCTTTTGCACATGTGTTGATATAGTCTTTGTTTTCATAGTATTGAGTTTTGAGAGTCTTTTATATTCTCTAGATGCAAAATCTTTGTCAAATATGTGTTTTACAAATATTTCCTTCCAGTCTTCCCCCGTCTTTTGGTCTCTTAATAATATCTTTCACAAAACAGAAGTTTTTAATGGCATTTACTTTATCAATATTTTCTATTATAATGGTGCTTTTGATGTTGAGTCAAAGAAATTTTTGCTTAATTCTAAGTCTTACCAGTTTTTTCTTAGCTTTTCTTTTAGGTGTTTTATAGTTTTAAATTATGCATTTGGATCTGTAATCCATTGAATTGTTTTTGCTTTTTTTTACTTATAAATGTGAAGTATATGTTGAGATTCACTTATTTGCATTTTTCCTAGCACCAGTTGTTGAAAAGTTGATTGCAGAACAAATGCCCTGGCAATGTGTGTTTGTTTGGATGGTTGCGGGGTGAGGTGGAGTATGGATGGACATTATTGATGGGCAGGGCTAAAGTTCCCCCATACTGCCACCTGGCATCAGGCCCTAGGGTTTCCACTGTGCCCTGGGCAGTGGGCCTTCAGACAGGCCCTGTCAAAGAAACAAGCCTACCAAGTACCTTGCCAATCCTTGTGTGGTTACTGTTTAATACCTTGGGTGAAAATGAGATTATTTTATAACCACCAAGGGTTTGACTATTGCTCAAGGCAGGTTGTGCCAGCACAACCTTTATTATCATATATTTCATGGGTGCGGAGCCCCTGCTGGCCTCTTGGACTCCTTTGATAAGGAGAGCAACCTGGTGAAGTGCTGAAACAAATCTCTGTAGTGTAGGACCTACAGGGAGCACAACCTAGCAGAGTCTTCAAAGCTGGATCCAAAAGTGAGAAAGCAGGTTCCTCCTCACAAATGAGGCTGGGAGGATGAAGACCACTTATCAAGGACCCACAAGAGACAAGTTGATCAAAGTGCATATGAGTTAGATAGCACCCAGCGAGCCGCCTTCTCGTCTCATGGAGATTTACCAGGGTTGCTGAGGCCTGGAGTGAGGGAATTGGCTTTCTCTCCTTGGTGTGGCCACAGGGACATGCTATTTGTCCAAGCAGTCCTATTTCTGGGATTTCTATCCCAAAGAAATGTGAGCCAGGTTTTGTCCCTTAGTTTTGTTTCTTATGGTAGAAAACTGGAAAAATTAAAGTGCCCAAGGCTTGATGAAATAAATTCTGAATTCATTCTCATAGTGGAATGCTATACAGCCATTTAAAGGGTGATACAAAGGTATATTTTGTGGTGTGGGGAGAGAATGTTTATAAGATACAGCTGGGGGAGAAAGATGGGTTATAGGGCAGCATGTACGCACAATGGAGGCACTTTAAAAATGCATCTCTATGTGACCATATGTGTTTCATTGTTGACGTTAACAGCCACAGAGGCAATTCCTTCTGTAATAATAATTCAGTTCGTTGAATCAACTCCAATTCCTGGCATCCCCGTGTGTGTCAGAGTACAACTGTACTCCACAGGCTTTTCATAGCTGACATTTCTGAAGGAGAGCGCCTGACTGTTCTGCAAAGGCCTCTCTGGATGGACTTGAACCTCCAACATTTTAGGTAGCAGCCAAGCACATCAATTGCCTGTTCCACTCAGGGACTCCCATTTTCTTCTGTAATCCCTGCAGCTGGAGATTCTGAGTTTTATTTTAATCAGAAGGACTGCCCTTTTCTAAGCGTAATGCCTGCTAAGGAGCTAACAGTTGGCAGGACCCACAGAAGAAGTAGTAAGTCAACTCTATTCTGGGGTATGTTGTGGGTTGTTGTTGTTGTGAAGTGTCGTCGAGTCTATTTCAACCCATAGCGACCCTGTATAGGGTTTCTGAGGAGTAGCTGGTGAGCTTGAACTGCCAACCTTGCTGTTCAAACAGCTTTGCAGTCTGGCGCGTTAACCCACAGTGCCATACCATGTTGTGGGTAGGTTGGGTGAAAAAACTGGGTTATAGGACAGCATGTATGCACAATGGAGGCACTGTAAAATAATATGATAGACTCCCCGCAACACACACAAGGGGCCTTCAAAGAGTTTATAGAAAAGTGGAATAAAAAAAAAATGGATTTTTTTCCCACAGAGTTTGAAGCCCCTTGTGTGTGTGTATATACACCACTGTCCATATGTCTGGCAGTGGTGAGCATTTCTGTAGCTCCATTCATACTCCTGACTCCCCGCCATTACATAACTCCTTTGGAACAAGTGGGTTCACAATTTTATTAGTCAAATATACCTTATTAAAATGGAAGTTGAGGCTGAAGGTCACTATATAAAACAAATACAAGTACCTATAAATGCAGTAGCTCAAAAGAGGGAACAAGTATTTACAGCAAGGATCATTCCCACACCTTCCATACACAGAGTAGACAGGGATGGGCAACTTGGACATTGGCTACCCAAATGTGGGGCTACAAAGGCAAGAAGTGACTGGCTTATAAGCTTTCGAGAGGGAACCGTGATCCAGAAGGCGTGGAGGAAGGTAGAATCTCCACTGAGTAGTATCCAATCTGTCTAGGCGGGGCTGATGAAATGAAATGAGGATAGGTCTCTTGTGATACAATAGTGAATAATTGTTATCAGGACTGATTGTGAGGGTTGTAAATGTACAGGCAGGTGTTTTGTAAGAAGGAGGGGAGTGATTAACTTTTCAGTGTAGGAGTGGAGGTCCCTGGGACCATCAAGGGTGAAGCAGTGATGCCTGAGATGGAGGCAGAGACGATGACGTGGAGAGATGGAGCAGCTGGGGACTTTAGACCCAGAGAGGGAGAGGGGTTGTGTGCTGACAACTGGGGGTCAGGCTTGCAGAGTATAGTCTTTGGTTGGTTGATGATGCAGGGAGGGGATTGTAACCATGGTAATGAAACGACATACGATAGGATGAATGTAAAACTAATGCTCTCCCATATAAACTATCACATAATTCACAATAAAACATTAAAAAAAAAAGGCTATTTAAGAAACAAACAAACAAAAACAAATACAAGTAGAGGTGATCTGTAACAGGAAGTAGGAACCTGGAGGCTTGTTTACTGGGCTCCCCACATGTGTACACCAGGCCCTAGACTCATCTCTGAAGACAGCAGATCAGGAGGTAAGTCAGTGGCCCTGGACAATTAGGAGGCAGCTGAAATTCCTCTGCCCAGGTGTCCCTCAAAGGCAGGGCGCAGGGATATTAACCATCCACCCCAGGCTCCTGGCCAAGACTCTAAAAGACCTCACCAAAATGCCATCTCAAATGGAACATGTCATGGAAACAATGGTGGTCGTATTTCACAGATTTGCTGGGGATAAATGCTATTTAACGAAGGAGATTCTGAGGGTACTCAAGGAAAAAGAGTTCCCTGGGTTTTTGAAATACCAAAAAGACCCTTTGATCATAGGCAAAATAACGAAGGATGTAGACCAGTGCCGAGATGGCAAACTGAGTTTCCAGAGCTTCCTTTGGTTCACTGCTGGGCTTGCCATCGCACACAATGACTGTTTTGTAGCACACATGAAGCAGAAGGGAAAGAAGTAAAAATTGGCAGAATTGAGGAATCCCTCCCATTCTGACCCAAATAGTTATCCAAAAGAGTGGCTTAAGAAATCTGACCCATAGCCTCCCCTATATAAGGATTTCATTAGCAGATTGGAACCCTTTAGAATATGTACAAATAAAATCCAATCCCCATTTGGCAAGTAGAGAAAGAAAAGTCTATTAAATGCCAGATAAGCTTTTGATTTTTACATTGTTTGCATCCTCTTGCTCTCAATAAACAAATTCCTTTTTTAACACCTAAAAAACAAAAGATAGAATGTGAGTTTCTGGCAGAGGGGCTGGAGAAGACACTCAAGGGGCATGGGACAATGGTGACTTACCACCTAGGATGGGAATATTGAAACACTGTAACACGAGGCAGGCTCCATATCATTCAGGGGTGCGTGGATGGACCAACAAACTGGTGGATGAATGAGTAGAAAGGTAGAAGGATAGATGAATGGATGGATGGATGAGTAGAAAGATAAATGGGGGAATGAATGGGAGACAGATGGATGAGGGGAGAGACAAAGTACTGGGTATGTGTGATGATGGGAAATCATGCAAGGAAAAGGACTGAGTGGAAAGATAAGATGATGGATGGATGAGTAGAAAGATAAATGGGGGAATGAATGGGAGACAGATGGGTGAGGGGAGAGACAAAGTACTGGGTATGTGTGATGATGGGAAATCATGCAAGGAAAAGGACTGAGTGGAAAGATAAGATGATGGATGGATGAGTAGAAAGGTAATGGATGAATGGACAGGTGGGAAGGCTGAAGAAGGGAGGATGAACGGAAGGAGATTTGCACCAAGAATGAGAGGGTGGCAGAGGCAAGCCCTTCACTGATGGCATGACTCTGGGCTCTGGACCTCCACAGGTAGCTTCCTGGTGCCTTACATCATCATGCTCATCGTGGAGGGAATGCCACTTCTGTACCTGGAACTAGCAGTGGGCCAGCGCATGCGGCAGGGCAGCATTGGTGCCTGGAGGACCATCAGCCCCTACCTCAGAGGTGTTGGTATGTGGGACCACAGGGCTGTGGGTGAGAATCCACTGGAAAAGTCGGTGGGTTAAAGGACAGCAGGTGACCCAAGAGAAAGTGTGTGACTAGTTTTCCCAGGAGGGTAACTAGTAGGGGTATGGTCACTCCCTGGAGAACTGACACCATGTTACTTTTCTTCTCTGGGCCTCAGTGTTTCCTTGTCTGTAAAAGGCATATAACTACCCAATGAAGAAGCTGTAACTCAAACCCAGCCAGTCTGGAAAGTCACGTAAATGCTCCCTGCCTATTACCTATGACATCTCCCTATTTTAGTGAGCACTTACTATGTGCCAGGTATGCACTTATACAGGAGATAAACATGAATTCATTTAATCTTCATAGTACTACTGAGAGGTGTGGAGACCGCTAACATCTCCAGTGTGTGAGAAAGCAGATAGCAGGAGGGGTGCTCTTCACAGCCTGCCTCTCCCAAGTCATGGGGCATCAGTGTCCTGGGCACCTCTGAGAGGTAGTTAACCTCCCTGAACAGCCCTCACAGTCCAGGGCGGCTTCTGCAAACAGAAGGAACTTTGAGCATCAATGGCCACATTGTGCTCTGCTCACTGCCCCCATGCCCAGAAGGAGGCAAGTGATATCCGAGGAACCCAGAAGAAATATGTCCTCACACTTGCCTTACACAATGTCTCCAAACTCTGCTACCTCCTCTTCAATGGCTATGAGCGTTTAACACAGAGACGTGTTGTTTCACAATTTGCCAGAGTAAACAATCACAGGGGGGTTCACAACCAGCATCTGCTGTGCAATAGGAAGGCTGCCAGAGCTTGATGCCAGTCAATGGGTTGCTCATCATTCTGGGGTGTAGGGGGAAGTGGGAGGGGGCAAATCCCTAGCTTGTAGCATTTGCTGATACCTGTGGTGGAAATACTCCCATCATGCACAATTCCAAACTTCTAATGAAATATCCCCAGAGTGTGGGGCTAAAATAGGACACACAGTAACTCTGGAGGGAGGGTAAGAGCCAGCACCCACATACCATCTGCCAACCGTCTCTCAGCCCCAGCCTGGGTTCCATGCAGTGTTGACCTGAGGTCTCCCCTTCGCTCCTGACACACCTCCTCACACCCATGTCCATGCCACCACTGGGCAGGGTTTGGCCAAAGTAGCTCAACTTCAGGCGACCCAAGTAGGGAGCAATATCTAGCATCAGCGAGCCACTTGGAATGATAAAGTACTTCTCATACAAGGTTTGAATCCTAATTCTGCTGCTTACTACCTTGTGGTCTTGGGCAAGTTAATGATTCTGTCCCTCAATTTTCTCCCCGGTAAAATAGGGATAGTAATACCCATTCATAATATTGTTATTGGGACTAACGGCATGTAAAGTGCTTAGCACACAGTACCTGGCATTCGGTTCAAAAAGTCATGAGATTTCAGAGGTTAGGGAAAGAGAAATAACCATTAAAGCTACTGATGGGTGCCTGGTCATGTTTAAGGCTGACAAAAACCTGCGGAGGTTCTTTATAGATTTTGCAGATCAGAGAGCCAGGGCAGTCCCTACAGGATGTCTCAGAAGCAGGTACTGGCTGGAGCCACGCCTCTTCCGCACACGTGAAGAGGGGAGGGGCAGTCCTCAGGGTTGGCCCTCTGCTTTCCAACAGGTGTTGCTAGCGTGGTGGTCTCCTTCTTCCTCTCCATGTACTACAACGTCATCAATGCCTGGGCCTTCTGGTACCTCTTCCACTCCTTCCAGGTGAGCGGGGAACCATGCCAGGACAGGAGCAGAAGCAAGACGGGGGACATCAGGGATGCCCACCTGGGGAGGAAGGCATTGGATGGTGAGGGAGATAGTATGAGGTGGAGACAGGAAGTAGTGAGGGAGGGTAATAGAATGCCAAGCACCCCACACATCTGGATCTGGGATCCATGGGCCCCCTGGAATTGCAAGCCATATGATGCATGTGTATATGTGTGCTCATTTCTGGAAAGCAAGTCCATGTCTTTTATCAGTTTTTCTCTGAAGGATATGATCCCTTATGCTTCAGAGATGGCAGGGGCGGGGGTGGGGGTAGGGAAGCTGGGGAGAGTGCTGATGGGAAAGATTTCACCAACCCAGCTAGGCAGTTACCACCTTCCTCCTTGTCCTCTTCTTCCTCGCCCTTCCCCTCCTCCTCCTGCTTTTGCTGCTGTCTCTGACTCTGTCTTCAGCCTGAGTCCCTCCTTTTTTCCTCTACACCCCAAAATTCTCCTAGAACTTCAGTCCTGTGCAGTAGATATTATGATTCCCATTTTATAGATGAGAAAGCTGAGACTCAGTCCAGCAATTTGGTCAAAGTGAACACATTTTGAGCTGCCAAAGTGGAATTTGTACTCAGGTCCATTAGACGTCCAAGCCCATTCTCATTCCACAGACAACAGAGACCTCTACGTTTATCAGATTTCTTCTCCTACTGATTGGTAGAGGATGCTGGTACTCTGTTAAGGAGGATTCCTGAGGAGGCTGATCAATGTGAAAGATGCCAGAGATGATTTGAAGTTCAACGCTATCTGCCACGGGTTTGGGTAGTGGTTCTTTGTCTCTATATGACATCCTGTTTGCTAAACCCCATCGTGTACAAAGAACTCCCAAGTCACGGGTGGTGTTGAGGACAGTCTTAGTGCATACGGCTGCTAGAACCCACCAGCCCATAGTGGGTAGGATGGAGAGAGGAAGACTACACTGCCCAATGGACTGAGAATTGAAATCCCAGTGCTTTCATTATCTGTAGTATAACACACCACCCTCAAACCTACTGGCTTCCAATAATGAGTGTTTTCTTGCTCACAGTTCTGTGTGCCGGGGATTTGGGCTGAGCTCGCTGGAGAAGGCTTATGTCTGCTCCATGTGGTGTCAGCTGAGGCGGTTCAACTGGGGCTTCAGGTCCAAGAGGGTCTGGCTGGAACTTGGCACTGGCTGCCAGCTATGCACGTCTGCTCTCCCCGACATGGATTATCTCCACACAGTCTCTCATCAGAAGCTGAGCCGAAATGTCTTGACATGACAGCTAGTTTCCAACAGTGTGCAAGAGACAGCTACAAGGACTCTGCAGGCTTCAGCCAAGTGGTCACACAGCTTCACTTTCGCTGCATTCTATGTTCACAGACTACTGAGATTCAAGGAGATGAGCAATCAACACCTACATTGGAAGGGAGGAACTGCACAGACAATGGGGAATGGAAGGAATGGTTGGCAGCCATCTTTGTAAACCATTTTTTTTACCCAGAAAGCTGAGTCAAAGCTAGAAACTGGCTCTCACATTCCACTGGACAAGGTGGCTCTGGAGCCAAGGACTCCATTTTCACAAGACAGGCACAACTCTCAAGTGCTCAGGCCTGAGCTCCAGCTGCCTGCTGGTGGAATGGCCATGGCCCATCAGGTTCAACCAATGGGCTTCAATTCTGTTTTCTGTGGAAGGCAGGGGTAGAACCCAACAGAGTGGTCAAGCTTGTTTCTTTCAGTGGAGTTTGTTTTTGTCTAATGAGACCTTGTTGTTGTTGTTGTTAAGTGTCATTGAGTCATTGCTGACCCATAGTGACCCTGTATAGGGTTTCCAAGGAACAACTAACTGGTGAGATTGAACCACTGACCTTGAGGTTCAAACCAACTTTGCAATCTAGCACATTAGCCCACAGCACCGAAAATGACCAGTGTGCACTGGTCCTGGTAGAATAGGCATGGGACTCTTGTCATGGATTGAATTGTGTCCCCCAAAATGTGTCAACTTGGCTGGGTCATGATTCTCAGTGGTTTGGGGAAAGTTAGGTAATGATGTAATCATCCCCCATAATGTGATCTAAAGTGTCCAGCCAGTCAGTCGATTTAGGATGAGCTACAACACTCTTACTTAGTTCACAGCCCTGATCCAATATTAAGAGGTGTTTCACTAGGGTGTGACCTGAGTCACCTTGTATATTACAAGAGATCAAAGGAGAGAGAATCCAGCTGAGAAGGAAGGA